ATATTCATGAGAACCATGGTGGTGCAGTAGTTAGAATGCAGTAATTCGGGCTAATTCTGCTGACTGCCAGGAGTTCGATCCTGACCAGCTCAGGATTGATTCTGCTTTCCATCCTTCCAAGGTCTGTAAAATGAAGACCCAGATTGTTGGGGCCAATATGCTGACTCTAAACCAGGGCTTTTCAACCAGTGGTACGGGTACTACCTGTGGTACATTGGCACCTGACAGGTCGTACGCGGCCATCCTAGAAAAGTGGTAGCAGGGGAGGGGAATGAGCTGAACCGGTGGCAGCACCGCACAAGCCTGAGTGAGAGATGGCTGGAGCTGCAGGGCTGTCACGGCTCAACGAAAGCACCAGGATCAGCGCTTCTTCGGAGTTGTCAGGGCTCAGTGGAAGCGCCAGTCTCCAGCTGGAGCTCAGCACTGATCCTGGTGCTTCTGCTGAGCCCAGAAGAAGTGCCGATCAGCTGGAATGTTGCAGCATCTCCAGGGTCTTGTGATTTACATTCAGATGCTTGGCAACTGATTCATATTTATGATGGTCACAGTGTCCCAGGGTCATGTGAAGTAACCAAAATCTGCTGCAACCACCCAGCAAATGGGGGGAATAAAAACCAAACATCCCCTCCACCCCACCCACACTGCCAATCCTCAACAGAAATGCTCACAACAATGAAAACCTCGAACAGGAGGAAGAGTGCCGCCGGGAGGGCAGGCAAGTGTCTTGCTCAGCTGTGGCTTGGGGGGCACTTTTTCCAGTGCCATTGTAACTTCAAACAGTCACTAAGCGAACTGTTGTAAGTCGAGGACTACCTGTACTTTATCACTTTTTTCCTTTTTTTTTGGGGTCACCAAGTTTTTTTGGGTCATCAAGTTGCCATATCCTAAAAGTGGTACAATGGGTGAAAAGGTTGAAAAGCCCTGCTCTAAACTACTTAGAGAGGGCTGTAAAGCACTGTGAAGTGGTATATAAGTCTAAGTGCTATTGCTATTGCTGTCTTTGGGGACATGCTGTTTTGGGGGAGAGATGGCCAGCAAAGAAAGCATATTTCCCCAGTCCTGTATGATGGTAATATTTAATAAAAAGGATATGAAAAGCATCTATTCTGCCAGAAGATAGTGGGCAGAGAGAAACAATTAGAGCTTAGCAGTCCTTCAGATATCCAGCCTCTATGCCACAAAAGGCTTTATAAGTAATGATCCAGGCCTTGAATTGCACCCAGAAGCCAAATGGCAACCAATACATGTCATGTAGCAATGGTGACATGAGAAACAACTCTGTGCCACGGGATTGTGCTTCAGCTGCAGTTTCCAAATGGTCGTCAGGGAGATTTCCATGGAGGGTGCATTGTAATAATCCAGTCATGATATGACCAAGGCATATGTAACTGTCTGAAGAGTTTACCAATTAAGGAAAGGGTGCAACTGGCATCCAAGATAAACCAGTGCAAATGTAGATAAATCAATTGACCAAAAGACCAAGAGATAAAAATACATTGTCTTGCTCTTATGGCATACAGTATATGGCTCCTGGCAGATAAGTATATGTACATGCAAACATTTGTTAAAAAGAAAACTCTCAGGAATTCCCAGTTGTGTGTGTGTGTGTGTGTGTGTGTGTGTGTGTGTGTACGTAAAAAGGTAAAAGTAAAAGTTTCCCTTGTCCAGTCATGTCTGATTCTAGGGGGCAGTGCTCATCTCCATATTTTAGCCAAGGGAGCCAGCATTGTCTGAAGACATTTCTGTGATCATGTGACCAGCCTGATCACCATCAAGGCACACAGAATGCTGATACTTTCTTGCTTTAGAAAGAAGATTGTAGCTTATTGAAGAGCAGAGCCAAACAAAAATGTGACTCTGGGAAAGCTGACCACATGGAGTAGGGAGTGGTGGGTTTTTATACCTCCTTGGGCTTTTGTGTTTGGAGTTGTTCCTGTGGCATGAACTTTGACCTGAAGTTCAGAGTGCCCTCCTGATATTTTAATGGTGGTGAGTTAATCCAATTATATACTAAAAGTCATTTCCTGCTTCCCTGGGATTGTGGTTGATAGCTATGCCCTGTGTTGGATTTTTTTGGGGTGAGGGGTTTTTGGTTCTATGGATCTTTGTCTTTCTAATCCATCAGCTCCAAGCTTCCTGGCTCCAGTCTTTCTGAAAGGATTACCAAATTTGCATTTCTACAGAGCTGGCCTCTGCCTGGGTTTCTGGTTGGGGTGGGGGGATGGAAAAGTTTCTGCCTTTTTAAGATCTTTTCCTTTATTCCTTTGGGAAAATATAATATTCTGCCTTTTTAATATTCCCCAAAATATTTCTTTCTTTGGGGGGAGGGTGCTGTCCACCCACACTACTTTTTTTTTGAAGGGATCATCTTTAATTTAGTATTTTCCTCCTTTTAGGTAAATATATTATTATTACTGTGGTTACTTAAAACAAACCAAAAGGTATTGGTTTAAGTTAAAGTTACTTTTCTCATACATTTAGTCCTGAAAAGTAAAAGGCTTTCAAAGTTATTTTTAGAATATCAGTTACCATGGTAAAAGGAATTTCTCCACTGTTCTCCTCACTGATTGCTTAGATGGCTAATACTGTATGCTTCAGTAATACATCCCAATTATGCTTTTTAATAACTTTATCTTATGCATTTTATGCTTGGGGTTTCTGCTTAGTTAGAAAAAGAAAATTTTGTTTTGTATCTGCACATCTAATATACTGTGTTTATCATGTAAACACAGCATGGTATATTCAAAAAATACCTTGAAATCGTTCTATATACAAAAACTAGAGTATTTATTTAAAATGAAACTTTTGCTAGTAGGACCTACAAAATGACCCCAGCTCATTCACAAAGGTACTTCCCTTGATATCAGCTAGCCTGCCTGTCAACACATGTTCCTTTCCTTGTATGATTTTCTGTATACTACTGCTCTTTTGAATGCACTAATGGACTCCAACTCTGGCAATATGATATTGAATTAAGCATCAATACTTCTTAATATTCTTGTGGTTTAATATTGCTAAGATAAGACCACAGACTGATAGGATTCAGATGTCTTTACAGCTAATCTTATACATCTTTTGGCTAATATAATAGTTCTATCTGCAAACATCTTGCTATTCTTATTTATAAGAGCCAAAGTGGGATTCTATAAAATAAATCATACTTTGGCACATTTGACAAGATTTATCCACCCAGTTAGGTACCCTAATAGCATGTAAAATGTAATTGCACACTTAGAGCTATGCTAATTCTCAAGTTCCTTCTCTTGGTTGAGCATCCTTATGAATGAGCACAAGTATTTTAATCCTGTTGAACAGTGTTGGCTGCCTATAGACTAAGCACAAATACTCAGCCACACAGATGCTATTGTTGCATATTTTGTTTGCATGTTCTGTATTACAAATAGGTATATAGTAACTGTTGTTGTTTAGAGCTATTTTGTTTAGTTAACTCTAAAGGTGAGTACATTTCCAACAATGCAATGTATTTCTTGAGTTGTATTTAGTCAAGCTGTTCTAAGTACAGCCATGTACTTAGTATCATAAACAATTATATGGCAATTGATTGTTAGCCAAAGCAGGAAGTTTCCAGCTTTTCAGGCTGCATAACATGTTTCCTGGAAACCCTGATCAAGAGGCAAAGCTCTAGTGACAGACAATTGGCTGTGTTTGAGTGATTTTCTTTTCTTTTCCTCTTCAGTTCTCAAGGGACTTCAGGTTTTGTGGAACAACGTTTGAAAAAACTAGGCTAAAGGATGGAAATAACTATAAGATGTCTGGTAGCATAAAATATGGAGGTGTATATGTGTATTTTATATCCATATGTACAAGTAGTTCTCAACATACAATCACAGTTGAGCCCAAATTTTTTGTTGCTCAGCAGGACATTTAAGTGAATTGCACCCCATTTTATGACCTTTTTTGTCCCATACAGTTGTTAAGTAAATCTGGCTTCCTCCATTGACTTTGCTCATCAGAAATCAGCTAGGAAAGTCACAAATGGTGATCACAGAATCCTAGGACAATGCAACAGTCATTAATACATGCCAGTTGCAGAGCACCAGAACTGTGATCACATGTCCATGGGGATGCTGCGATGGTTTTGAATGTGAAAACTGGCCATAAGTTACTTGTAACTTCAAATAGTCACTAAAAAAATAATTGTAATTCAAGGCCTACCTCTATTACATTAGAATAGAACCATACATAAAAGGTGCCACACTAAGCCTGTCACAGGGTTTTCTTCTACATCACCTCCAGGCCAGGATATACAAACCTCCAGGGTTTTGTTTAATCTTCATTCTTTGCTTTTTGAAAAATAGCCAGGATGCATTTCTTTTCCCTGGCTTTTAATCATTAATCAATTTTGATTTTTAAAAAAACTATGGATTTTTAACAAGTTTCATTTTGTATTTTAAATCTTGTATCAACATGGAGATATAAGCCCTTTGGTCTGCAAATATTGTGCTCAAGTCAGTTACAAGCCTCACATTTTTATGATGCCCACTGCTTACTTTCTGTGTACTTGAGGAAAGAACCTCTACATTTGGCATTTTTTTATTTACTTAAGCTCTGTGAAGAAAATAGAAATTTTAGTTTCTGAAATTCAGGTCTTCCATTGAAGAACACCATGGAATCTTGTAATTGCTTTGAGCTCCTTCAGAATTCCTCAATTTTAACCTTCTCAATTTTTCTTGACCTTGGCATCTGTAAGACATGTTGATTTCAACTCCCAGAATTCTGGAAATTTAAGTCCGCATGTCTTAAAATTGCTAAGAAATGCTGTTCTACATAGTATAGTTAGAAATACAATTTAAGGTCAGGATAAATTCTCCCCCCCCCTCCCAAAAAAGTCTGTTAAAGTTCTAATTTATTTATTAAGTTATACTTGCATAGAATTAGCTTTGCATCTTATATATTGTCAGATTGAATTTGAGTGCTTGGAACGGCATAGACATGCTAAGAAATGCACCATCTTTTTATCCCTTTTTCTCCTCACATAGAGACTGAAAGAGCTGAAACAAAGGGAATTTGCACGAAATGTGGCTTCAAAATCCTGGAAAGATGAAAAGAAACAGGAGAAAGCTCTCAGACGACTTCATCAGCTGGCTGAGTTGCGGAAACAGTCAGAATGGTGCGTCTTTGGAACTAATATTACATTTTAATCTTGTCTCTTTTTTCCCTGATAGTCCCAGGAGAAATCTCCATGACTTTACTTCTACTTTATATAACACAGAGAATTTTCTTCATCCTTCATGCCAACATCCTTATTGTACAAACAATAAAATTGGAAGCCCTGCAATAATTCTTTGGCATTTGAATGTTGGACTTTTTACCCTCTTTCTAATCTCTATGAAATTAGTTTAATAGTCCTGTGATGAATTTTTTGGAATAAACATTTTCAATGCCATAAATAAAGAAGTCTGGCTAAATATTCCCTCTCCCACAATAAATTGTTTTGCTCTTAGAAAAAAATATTTGTAGCTGTGGTATCCTTGAAACTTTCTGAGCTTCTGGTTTATTTGCAGATGTTTCATTACCAAACTAGATAACAACATCAGTTTGGTAATAAAACATTTGTAAGAAAACCACCAAGGTCAAAGAGATGCAAAGATACCAATGTTTTACTCTTCCTGTCTCTGCTTGCTGCCCCTCCCAATAAATGTTTTGATTTTTTTTAAAAAAAAAAAAAATCCTTCTTGTTTTTTTTATCCAGATAAGGATTATCTCCTTGGTGATGCTCAAATAGCTAATCAGATTTTCCCAAGTGATGGTCACAGTGACCAGATATCCCATTGTTTGGGATGGGTAATCATTTAATTCAGTTCCTTTTGATAAACATTTTTTAGAAACATTAGACATCTTCCTAAATGAGATGGAAAGAAAAATATTAACTATTTCAAATTGTGGATAAAATTAAAGAGTTGATATATTCTTCCAAAGAGGCAGAGGGTTTGAATTATCTTGCACTATCTTGGCACTTATCATATTTGTAGTCCTAGATTCACAATATGGATTTTTACAGTCTAGGAATCTTTAATAGCTACAAGTGGCAAGTGGCAATTATATGGTCCCATTCATACTGAATGCATATGATTTGAACCATTAATCCTGAGGATTAGTGGAATTTTGTTTGTTAAAATCTTATCAGTTTTTACAAATTTATTCAAAGGGACAGAAAGATTTTGAAATTTAAAAAAAAATCTGATTGTTGAAGACATCAAACTGAATCATTTTCACTGAAAATGTAGAGGAAGAAAGGAATATATTGGGAAGACACCATCTTGTCTTCTTCTCCTCATGCTGTACTCTTTATCATAATACATGGCCAAAGTATTTCATTTCACTGAACTGTGGTGGCACAGAGTTAGAATGCAGTATTGCAGGATAATTCTGCTGTCTACCAGCAGTTTGATTCTCACTGGCTCAAGGTTGACTCAGCCTTCTATCCTTCCGAGGTCGGTAAAATGAGGGCCCAGATTGTTGTAAACAATATGCTGACTCTGTAAACCATTTAGAGAGGACTGTAAAGCACTGTGAAGCAGTAAATAAGTCTAAATGCTATTGCTGCTAGTGCAATTTTCCCTGCCCATCAAAGTAACTCAGCTTGGTAAGAAGTACTGAATATACTGTTTCAGCAATGGGATGATATATTATTTACTTTGAAACATTTATCAAAACAATTAATTGGCCACCTTACTGTTTTCCAAAACTAATGTTTTCCAAATGCCCTTTAGTATGATTCCCAACAGCACAGCCAATATATCTGGGATGAGATCAACAGAGGACAGAGTGTATAGTTTCATACATGTGAAGGATACCATATTGGGAAAACATATCTGTATTAATAAACTGTGATTATATTTTCAAGTCATGAAAAAGTTAACTGAAGACTGTAAAGGGTCTTCCAAAAGGTCATATGTGTAAAAAACAACAACAACCATTAAATCAATGCTGATTGTTAAGTGTTGAAATAGAAACATAATAAAAATCTGATCCAAAGCTTCTTTCATATGCAAAATTTCTACAAGTATTTGGCCTCTTAGTTTGCTAGTATTAAAGATATGGATGAAGCTGTTCATAATATTGTAATAAAAAGCAAACCTTTGTCAGTAAAAGCAGTGAGGATAGTAAAGTATGTGGATTTTCATAGATTTGCACATTTATTTTCTGGTCACATCTTTACTAAACTTATGCATGCCTGTTGTTCAGCTCATTGGGCTGCACATCCTATCTACCACATTAATTCAGGCTTCAGTGAACCTTTACAGCATACTGTGTTCATTAACTACCTCACATGGAATGAGACCAAGGACACCATGTTTATGTTGAATGTGATCAGTTCAGCATGTTATACATTCTTTTCAATGCCATATTGGGTCCCGATGGTGATGAATTCCTTTTCACCATCCTAATTGCCCAGGGTAACACTTTCTAACAGGCTATGCTAAAAATTAAATTCATTTTAACTTAAGTTGTTTTCATTATATTATTTATTTCTAGTGTTGCCGGATGCAGACCCATGTTTAAAAGTCCCCAGGTAGTTGTAGAACAACCACAGCAACAAGCACAAGACACTTTTCTCTTAGCTCAAGAAGAGAAAGCCAAGATTGCAGATGAAAGGAAAAGCTCCACCAGCCACCAGTCCGAAAAACTACAGGAGCCTTTGTTAAACAAGGATCAATCATGCATAGAGAGACACCATTTGTTTAAAAATCATATGTCTCCAGAATTCCCCTGCAGCACTAATGCTTGTAACAGAACAGGGGTGTCCTTTTCCTTCTCTAAAAAAGTCCACTTGAAGCTTGAGTCATCAGCATCTGTGTTCAGTGAGAATGTGGAAGAAGCACATGACCACACGGAGTCACCAAAGCAAAAAGTGAAACAAGCTGCTGAGGAATGTTACACTTGCATCCACAGGAATAGCAAGAGGAAAACTAATGTACAAAAACCATTAAGCACACTTCAGAGCCACCAAGACAGCATTGAAGTATACAATCTGGCTGGAAGAAATAAACCACATAAAGAAAATAACCAAAACAGCAGCAGAGAATCAGTGGAAACTCATCTTCCATTTTGTAAGGAGAAACAGCATTCTCTAGATTTGGAATGTACCAGCTCTCCTGATATAAAATCAAGACAGCTGGTGAAGACTCGGAAATCTATACAAGGTTTCATCACATCTCAGTGCCAACCTACCAGTGCTTGTATACAGCAAAAAGCTTACCGGCACAGCAATATCTTGCTAACAGAATGTGACTCTGAATTCCCAGGCCGAGAATCATCTGAAGGAGGGCATTCATGTGCAATACACTTTAATCCCTGTATATTCAAACACTCTTCTGATTCTTCAAAAACTATGGCTATGGATAACGAAACATCAAAAAAAGATGATTTGGTTCATGAAATTAAGCCTAAAACATTTCCTTTTCTTCATGTGCTGAGTAAAGATGGCAGCACAGCCTTCCATTGGCCCATAGAACTTCTTTTGTTTACAAAAACAGAACCTTCTATTTCTTATGGCTGCAATCCATTATATTTTGATTTCAGACTTCCCTTATACCATAAAGACAATGGGCAGCATGAAGTCAATCCAGAAACTTCTCAAGAGTATTCAAGAACTATGGATATAGATAAAAATCATGCCTTGGATCTATCCAAGAAGAAGCAATTGTCCAGTAAAAAAGATAACTTTTTAAAGCCAAAGAAGAACAGTGCTCTATATCTCAAAAAGTGCCAGCTAAAGTTATATAAAGAGAAAGAAAACAAAATTAATTGTAATGCTCCAAAGTACATTTCGGATGATTTGAATGAAAATATACCTAATGTGCCTGCTTACCTTGATTGTTCGCAAAGGCATTGTACAATAGCAACAAGTCACCATACAGAAATGTGTATGAGATCTTTGGCACAACATTTTCATAACTGTGAAACAACAGCACAGGATGAAGTTGGTGAAAATGTTTGCATTTATCCTTTGGCATCTAGGACAAAAAAGCAAAAATGTGGAAAATGTGATTTAATGTATTCCCAGGAGCAAGCAAATCTGGATTTGGTCACTTGTACAAGTAACATAAATGAAAATGGAAAAGATACACTTCTTGGTTGTAAGTTAGACTGCCCTGGTGAGTGCTTGGAAAAGGAAAGCAATGTGAGTTTTGCTAATGATTTTTGGAAATTCTGCCCTTTGCAAAAACCCTCGTCTGACAGACAGTCTAATTATTCTGACATCTCCATCGATAGTGAGACTAGCAACACAAGTTGCTACTGTAATCATAGATCAAGCAATCATAGTAGAAGTAATTTGTCTTTTTGTTGCAAAAGGAAACAAAAGTCAACTGGAAGACAGAAATGTAAACACAAAAAGCACAACTGCCTTTCATCTTCTGATGAAGCAGATGTGGACTGCTTTATCCACAAAAAAAGCCAGCGATCTGCAGATTGTACTCAGAACCATCCAATAAAATATCAAAGATATTTGAGATATGGGCACTTGCTACAAAGAGAAAGAGCAAAGCAAAGTAGAAATAGATATCCTGTCTGTAAACACAGCAGGAGCAGGAGATATACCAGTTCCCAAGGTCCTTGCATCCATGATTCAGGAAGCAGTGAAAGATCAACTTCTACTCAATCTAGAGGTAGCAGTTCAGGATCCTTCATGAAGGAATCAGTGCATATCTGGAATGAACACAAAAAGACTATGAGAAGCAATGAAGAAAAAGAATCCTGCTCTACCCATTCAGAGAACCAGAATGTGAATTGTGCCTCTAAGCATAAGCATGGGATTTGCTCTGATGACTGGTTGGAAAAGGAAGCAGCAAGACAGAAGTCATTAACCGCCAAGCTACTTTTACAAAAGGTAAAATCCAAAAGAAACCAGGAGCAAATTGAGAGCACTGGCAGCTTTTCAAAGGCTTGCAGGATAGATGTCCCCTCTAATCTGCCTGATACATCTTCCATGGAGAGTGAAACAATACTGCCTTCACAGGAGAACACGCACAGTGTTGACATGAACTGTGTGTGGAATCATGAAACTGGTGAAATGGAAAACCACACAAACAAACATTTGACCCTAGATAATATTATGGGCAATATTAGTTACAGTAATTGCCTGCTCCAAGACTTAATTCAAAGAGGAACCACCTGCCAAACCCTAAATATGGAAGCAAGCACAACAATAAAGGAGAAGACAGATCTCTTAACTGATGAAACACAACCTCTTCTACAAAGCTGTGATCCAGTGACAGGTGATTTTCCTGGTCCTTTTGTTTCTCATAGATATTCTCTTGCTCCAAATTTTATAGACACCAAAGAAGAATACAATGCAAGTATGGACATGCATCAAGCAGAAGAGAATCTAAACTATTACCCTGACAATGCTATGCATAAATCCAATGAAACAGAATATAAGACTGATCTTTATGGTAAGTGCATCTCCCCTCCTTTATCACAACATCCTATAATATTTTCCCCTGATGAAATAGACAAATACAGGTTTCTACAGCTACAGGCCCAGCAGCACATGCAGAAACAATTTGTAGCAAAGCATCTCAAGGTTTTGTCTACTACTGGACCAGCCACTTTGTCTGCATCCCCAGCAGTTCAGTCTGTTCCAGTCCAGCAGCACACTTCTGTTGCCACCCTCCACCAAACCTTTCTGCAACGCTTAGCTTTGTCCACTGGGGCTCATCCACATAGCAGCAATCTTTCCCTAACCCATATACATCCTTTCTCACAGGCTCATCTTGCACCCATGTCAATTTCGCCATTTGCTTCAACCTTCCTGCCAACTCACACAGCACTACTGTCTGGTCATCCCTTCCATTTGGTATCAGCAACTCCTATTCACCCTGTTACCCAACTGGCAATCCCATCCCTGCCTCCCACTGCCTTTATTCCTACTTGGTTCACTCCACCGCTGAGTGCAACTGCATCCTCCACAATGCATTTCAATCCTTTGATTCATCCATTTTTCCAGGGGCAGAAACTTCCACCTTATTCTTGAACGTGGCATGCACATTGGTTCTCTGAACTGAGGGGGGGAAAGTAAGTTGAAAAATAAATAGCAAGGTCACTGTCCTACATTCCAAAAAGCAATTTAGAATGGAAAGTCCCATTTAGTAATGTAATTGTTTTCCGTTTGAGAAGTCATGGTTTATATACTCCAAATATATCAAGAATGCTGAACAAAATCAAAGTTGGGCTGACACAGCACATAAATTTGATCATTAAACTGTTGAGAAGAGAATTATTTGTCACAAAGCCATGTCTACTTCTTACTGCAGTCCTTTGTAATTTGGCACAGTCCAGATGTAATTTGACTGCAACTTCTAAAACTCCCAAACTATTTGGAAGGTGCCTGATTAGGAGGTATTGTCTGACAACTCCCTTTAAGGTTTAGCATGGTATTTGCACTATAGTAGGTATTTTCGTTAAACAAAATCTATATGTATTTTCAAAAAAGGATGCATGGAAGAATGGTTAACCTTGGAAAGCTTTTGGAGTACATAAACTCCCAATTCTCCCATCATCATGCTAATGACGTTTGGCAGCAGATAACTGATTTTAAGCAATGCATTTTTTTCTTGTTCTTTAAAAAATGCAATAAAATGAAATATGTCCCCAACTCTCCCCAGAAATACAGGCTGAAAACTTTGGCCCCTCTCCCTCAGGGAAAAGATTGCATCCATGCTCTTGCATCATCACTGCTTAGAGAATCAAATAATAATCATGAGAGGAGGAGGAGGAGGAAGAATATGTATGATTCACAGTCTAAAAATGCCTCTGCCACATGCTTGCATTTAAAAATAAATAAATAAAGATATCCCCAAGGCAAACTTCACTTCTAATGATTACATGGACATAATTATCAGATTTGTTTGACACAAATATAAAAGCAGTTTCCCATTGCCTTCCTCCAGGATGTTCTTTTAACTTACAGTTGTGACATTCCTACACGTCTATCATCCAACCACTAAACAAGGAAGTAGCGACTGTGAAGGACAAGCAGCGGTTACAGTGACACAAATAGCATTGCTTCAATGCATGTCCTGCCCCTTTTTCTATGATCATGACATACATCTAAAAGGAGCAAAACTTTTCTGCTGAACATTTCTGTTTAGCTTCTAAGGCCAGAAAGATTACTAAGGTGCTTCCAGGAATGCTCTATACTTGTGGCCTTGTATTCTAAGAGCAAAATACAGCTTTTTCTTGTCCATAAAGATTCATAATCACTGAATCAGATAAGCAGCCTGTGAATATAATTACATTACAAATGTACTTGTACATTAAGATTACAAATGTATGCACAGATTCTTCAACTAAACTACATTTTCCAAACTGTGTTGGGATCTCTCCCTCCATTCCTAGTTTCTAATTCATGCTTTAAACAAAGATTATATGGATCAAATTTTGTGAGACTTGTACCTACTAAAAATCCACTAAACCATAATATATATAAATCATTACATCCATTATTTTAATACATTTGCATTTCTTTTAGGCTGTAAATATGAATATATCTTTGAGATTATTAATTTAACTGAATCAATTTTTAAATTATGTGGTTCAGGATGTTGCTAAGGACAGCTATTAGAAATTACCCTGATAAACTAAAAAGGGAGAATGGAAATACTTCATAGTTTTGTTCAATCACAAAGTACTTTTCAGTATTAGTAAGATCCAAAATTAGGCAATGCAGATTTTTAAACAGATCCAAGGCTGGTTTATGGTTTAAAATACAAAATTTAGTCCTTTATATTTGATAATTTCCTTTACTTAGAATATCCATTAAAGTTACTATTTGTCAAACTTAAAAATGGGAAATTGTGACTGAAATAAAGTGACTGAAATTTAAAACAAGCCACTTGCCACTACATATATCCCTTTTCCTGTCATGATCTAATTTAACAATTAGAAAATTGAATGTACATTCAGCTACTCAAGTTAGCTTGTTTTTTTCACATGCTGAAAATCTAGATCCCAGTGCAAAATGCAATCCCATGCTGATCTCACTATAACCGGGTAGAAAATAATTGCTTTGTAGTGACATAAAAGTGATTAGATGAAGCAAACTAATGAAGTATAATGGTTTTCCTGTTAATTAAAGTATATATGTAAACTTCTAAATACAGCTATTTGTTATGTAGGTTTGAAAAAAACTTAAAAAAAATAAAAATCATAAATATGCCATTTGATTCATTTTTTAAGTATTTCATTTCTTTCAAAACTAGCTTTCTGGTTAATATTATATATAATTATTATGTTTTTTATTCTCTGTATACTGTTTTATATTATACAGTAGCTATGTGAATTGCACTATTGAACATGATATGCAGCTTTTTTTTAGTTAATTCAAGTTTTCCTTGGAATGTAGTTTTATGCAATAATGTTTTTCAATAAAAGAAACTTAATGGTATAAAGAGTGTTGGTAATACATTTTTAAAATATCATATGAAACAATGGGATAAAGATACTTTTATTTTAATTCATAAGACTGAAATGCATTTTATTTATCCAAACTGTAATGTTGGTTATTAATGCTATTTCTTTTTAACAACAACATAACAACAACAAAAACAAGACCAATAATACCTGGTGACAACAGAATAGAAGAAAAAAAATTGGAAAAAATCATAAAATACAAAGACTTGCAAATAAAAAGTAGCACCAATAGTAAAGGAACCTGTAGCATCTAGAAAACCATTTGAACATCATCAACGTTAACAAAATCATCATCAGAGAATTGCAAAAGAACAGCTTACATTCTGTGATGATACATTTAACATCATGAAACAACAACATCTACATATCCTAGATCCATTGGGAAAGAAATGATAGTTGGATTAAAATGCCAAATCAATCTAAACATCTGTTTGACTATGCACCCAACCATAATAAAAACAATATGCTATTGACTGGGCAGAAAGAGCATTATACCTTCAACTGGCACTAATAATACAGCCAATAAAATCCAGTTCTGCATAGATCCAATTATTATATTATTACCTGCCATATTCCTACCTATAATGATGAGCAGTCTCCTAGAAAAATAATCCCCTGCCTGGTTGCTTTTCAGCTCTGTAGACTTCACTTTCTAGTTTGGGGAGAAGTGAGTTCCTATGAGTAATGTTTTTTTCTTTTATGCCTGGTAACTTCCTGGACAGATCCCTGCAGTTTTCTTGGCAAGATTTCAGAAGAGCTGTGCATCCTTCCTAGGTCCGAAAAAAGGTGACTGGTCTGAGGACATCCAGCCAGGTTTGTGCCTATGGCAGGACTACAACTCATGATCTCCTAATTACTAGCCTGAGGTTATAACTGCTACACAAAATTGTCTCCATCAACTCCTATAATGTTCAACTACAACACACTGTCTGGCAATTAACGGAATTGGAGAGTCCACATATCGACGATATTCACTCCATATCAGCAAATTATAACATTCAGCAGTAGATGTTAAACACAAGCAGGAAGAATATAGAACCTTGAGGAACCCCACAGGGAGGGGTCTAAGGCTAGCTTTCTTTCCATTCAAACACCAACCAAAGTTGGCTCCAAAGGTAGGAGGAAAATCACTAGAACACAATGTCTCCCCTCCTTACTTGCTGAACCAATACAGAAGGACACTGGAGATATCAAGGAGAACTAGGATGGATGGCCAGTTCTGTCAAAGGTAATCTACACATATATCAATATCTTCTTGATGCTGTACTCCAGTCTAACATCTGAAAAGGATCCAGATAATCTGTTTTTTCAGGCATTTTAAAGCAACCAACTTCTCAATCAATTTTTCAACTTCTAAAAAGGAATTGGAAATTCAGTGAAAATTGTATAATGCTAACAGATCCAGGGATGAGCTTCTTTAACAAAGGACAAACAACCATCTCTTTATAAGCTGGAGAACCTCATCCTCCTCCCGCACAAGGCTGCATTCATCTAACTACATGTCATCTCCTGAAAGACCTTAACCAATCATAAGTGACATTAATCTAATATTCAGGTACTTGTACCTCCATCATTGAGGACTCTGCCATTTCTTTGGGACCAACAAGCTTAAACTCTTCTCCATAACTATGCTAAACCATTCTTCAGTCAGCTTCAAAGGACTTGCCCAACCAGAGTCCAAATCCAAGTGGATCTAAACAACTTTTTCCACCACATGCCTAATATTGTATTCATAGTAGCATGCATATATACATAAACATACACAATATGAATGGAAAAATTATTGTTCTTATCACCACGAGGTAATCCTTATTAAATTCTTATGTAAAGCTCTTGCCTGTTCTTTACCAGGTTCATTTTTCAGTTTCCTTCAGGCAGACTCTAAGCATCTCTGTTGCCATTTTGTCTCCTGGAATTACTAAGGGCAAGGAAGTTCTCGGTAACTCAGAAGTATGGTAGAATGATAACTGTAAAGTTAACAGTATTTTGTGTCTGTTTAAACTAGTACTTGGCTAATTCACACATTCCCAAAACTCCAAGAAAGTTGGTAGGTATATATGACTATTTATCAGCTATTTATCTTCAGAGTTGCCTGGTAAGCTTCATTGCTAATAAGGAATTTTCTAATCTTGCATGATAAGCAATGAAGTTTCATCTTAATTTTAACAGTAAAACTGCAATTTCAACTGTGCAACTTCAGTGGGGAGGCATAGACCTAACAGAATCAAAACCCTGCTTGGTGGTTTAGAAAAATATTTAGACTAATTTATTATCAGTCTTTGGATTTAACAACAGTCTAATGACCTCATGAGCAAAGATTGGAATTGCTTTTCAAGCATTCTATAGCCAAACTAATGATAGTAAAGTGACTTTATGACTTGTATATAAAGTCATCAAAACAGAATAAAAGGAAAATGTCTGATAGCCCTTCAGTGATGTGACCATGCATATCTAAAATTATATGGCATATTAAATCAATACTGAATTTTGCTAAGCCATTAAGCTTTCAGTATCAAAATGTGACCATGGGTTCTTTGAAAATTGGGTGTGCACTTAGTATTGAAGAGAACAATTGCAACATATTGACAGAGACCAT